CGCCGCCCGACACACACCGACACCGAGGAAGCAATTGCCCGCCTCTCTCCTCCTCCTTTCTACACAATTGTTCCCCCGGGTTACTCTCCTCTCCTCGGCCACCTCGCTCTCCCCCTCGACCGCATCTTGGTCGTCAGCATTCCCTGGGCGTCGTGGACGCAATGTACCCCGTGCACGCCTTACTTACTCGTCACAATACACTGGTCGTTTAAAAATGAAGAAGGGGGGGGGGTGGGAATTGACGTAGTTCAAAGAAAACTTTGGGCGGTTTTGTTTTTTTCGCAAAACTTAACCAAAACCTCCTTAACTGCCCCGAAATTACTGGTGGAAATTGTTTCAGAAGAGCGACTTTCTTTTCTCGGTGCGAGGAACCGTCTCGGCTCGTGTCCGCCTCGTCGCCACCCTTCCTGTCTGGGGCACCGGGCCCGACGCTCTCCGGCCCGGACCGCCGCGCGACGAAAACAAAGCTGCATATTACCGAATGGCAATGATGGGCGCCGGAATGTTGGCGGGCGGCGGCGGCGCGGCGGGTGCTGGGCCATGCCGCGCCGCGCCGCGCCCCACATTCTTCACTCACACCTCTCTCCGGGGGCCACGCGGCGGGGCGGGGTGCGGACCAGCGCCCGGGCGTACACGCCGTGCCCATCCCGCACACGGCTGTTTCCCTTTTTGCTTTCGCGTGTTTGGGTTGTGATTCAGCAAGGCGGGATGCATGTCCGTGGGGCCGTCCCGTCCAGGGGGTCGGGTCAGACTGGCGGGGGCGCATACGGGTGAGGGGGGGGGGGCAGGGTATCCCCCGCACCGGGGCCACGCTTACGGAGGGACAAGCCAAGGCTTGTTCTTTTTAAGTGTCGTCTAGAAAGTACACTCCTTTCTCACTCGACCATTTGGCATATCACGGGAGCTTGGCGCCTGCGAGACGCAGGGTAGGCCACCCCGCAGTACACGCACGCACGACAGACTTGATGTTGCCTACGTAGCAGGCGCCATGAGACCTGACATTGGCTGAACTTGGCAATTTCGTTACGAGAGATAACGGAGGAACTTTTTGAATGCTCCAACCACAACGATGATTCAAGTTAAATGAGCAGTTAATTCTCTAACACAAGAATTAATCTTGTCTTCTACGCGTATCTCCCTTGCACCCAAAGAACCATTTGCCGGCCAAACGGACGAAATTTTTGTCAAAAGAAATCTATTTTGACAATTTACCCTCGAGGACGACATAATATCACCTTTTAATGTGGTTCATTTTTGGCTGATTTTGCGACTGTAAACTGTCAACGAATCTACAGTTATCCACAGTGGTCCGATCGCGTCCAGGAAGGCAGATTCGGGCAGATTTGTCGTCCATAGGACCATCGCCCTGCAGCTAATGAAGTACTGACAGTAGGTAGCGTCAATGTCGGCAACCCCAACTTTACCTGGCTCCAGGTAATCGCTTAACCTCCCCTTAAACGTGCTACCAAAGCAGGAATCCCAGCGGGTGGGCGTGTCGACAAGCTGCGGGGATGCAGCCTGACGACACCCTCGCGATCGTCGTGCAAGGGGATGGAACAATCTGGATCGAGGTGACGCGCGCGATGCACGGCAGAAAGTGATAAGGAAAGCAGGCCGCTACGCAGCTCCGCAAAGTGCAGTTCGAGTAAGTACACCTGAGTAAAAGCATGGGGCTGTGCTGCAGTTCGTGGGTTTGCTCGCTAAGACTTATTTACGTCTAACAGGGCTGATCACTAGATTGTTTCGTGTATGGAGAAATCCTAAAGGGTTACAGCGATATCACCGCACATGGTACCCACTGAGTTTTGCGTACTTATATTAAAATTGCTTGCGTACTTCCCGAACATAAAGTGGCTTATACATAAAATATTCTTACGTAATTAAGACATTTTTTACGTGATAATGTTTTTCAAATCTTAGAGCACAACTGTTTTCCAGTTGTAAGTGGCGAACAATTTTGTTCTGCAGTTGCAAGTGGCGAACTAAACAGTTCTGCAGTTGCAACTACAGAGCGGCTTTGTTCACCTCTTGCAATTGCAGAGCAGTTCTGCACTTAGATTTCCAAAGTGTCAGACTTTGTGCGACACAGCTCTGTAAGGAATTTTCCGTAAGTACACGGTGAAAACGCTTAGTCAGTTTTCTAGAACGGCTAAACGAGAGCTGATTAAGTTTTGATCATTTTTAGGGGTGAGTTACTAGGAAATCAAGTAGACGGTACATGTTTTGTACCGTAATCACAGGGACGCACACAATTTTTTTTTTTTTTAAATACATACAATTATCTGTGTGCGTAAGAATGGTGGGCCGGGGTTCTGAAGAGTTGAGGGCTATCGGTATGATGCAGTCTGATTCCCATGAAGTGTGTGATTGTTTGAACGTTATTTTTCAGGCATTAAAGAGGTGTCGGTAAATATGGAGTTTGACGTACAGAGAAGTGTGTTAACACCGGGGGACGCTGATTACCAAACAGTTTCCAACTGTAAGTATTTTTCGCTTCATTATCCAACGAAAACAGGTTGATAACTTTAACGTCATTTTGATGATGTCAATGACGTCCCAAATGACATCCCTCAAAATAGTGACTAAATGGTGATTGAATGGCGTCATTTTTATGTAGCTGTGACTGCGAGGGGGAAACGACTGTTAAACTTTGTGTCAGCCGGATTACGGATTACTCGGATTACATCCGGAGTATCCTCCGGATTACGTTGCTTTTTCTCTAGGATACCCCTGGTCACTGTAAAATTTTCCCGGATTACCCTAAAATTTCCCCGGATGACCCTGGATTTTTTCGAATTTCCCCGGATTACACGTGCCGGATTACCTAATGGTTGTCAGCCGGATTACCTTAGTCGTTTCCCCCTCGTGTGACAGTCATGTTCTCCTTGGGTTTAAGTAGTTTACCGAAAATTCAAAGTTGAACTGAAGTAAGCAGTTGAACGTTAATCACCCAGGTCTGTGAGGTTTGCAAGCATAATGGTTCGATGTGCCATAACAACAGCGCTTATCCTGCGCATGACTAATTGGGCGTGGCCGTGGGGGTTCATTCAACCAAGAGATAACATGCTGTCGAAGGGTGTCTACGACACACCTTACCTTGAAAAAGTTTCTTGGAGACATTCGTGGCACTGATGTAATTTCGATTCGTAGGTAGTGTGACGCAGGACTTTTTCGGAACTTTTAAAGGAACCAAAGTTAAATTGCAGTGTACTATTTTTTGTATTGGATGGGTAACTATCATAATTTGTTCATAAAACACGTTTAGTCGTGGTTGAACAATAAATTGTTTTAAACACACCTCCAATTCCTGAAACTGCATCTTATGTTCTGTTGATGTTATTGTTTTTAAAACTAATAGTAATTTTCATTTTGCAATGCAAATTTTTAAAGTGCGTCCCTCGGGGGTTACACCGGTAAAACAAGTGTTTAACTTTGCACGTCAAGTTAAGTTCAAGTGGGCATTTTCTAGACACTTCGTGGTGTCTAACTATGTTATACGTCAATTGGTGTTTAAACTTTCGACACTTACGAAACGTATAGCAGCTGCACACCGTATGGTTCCCTATTAACGGCATATAGAACTACTGTGTGTGTCCAAGTGTGCAGAATTTAAACGTTTACAAAACGTCTAAAATTTGCACACCACGCAAGTGTGCAACTTAAGTTAAACACCATGTAATGTGCAAAATCACAACTTGCACACGTTTGGTGTGCAAATATTGCGCACTTGTTTTACCAGTGTGCAGTTATGAGTTGTGTGCAGGAAGCCAAACGTTTTTGGTTGCTATTTTGTGTAGTTTGACCGCTTACAGACCAAGGGGTGGATAACTCCCCTGCCAAGTGTACACCCCTAATTCTGCCCAATTCAAACTAATTCAGACCAATTCAATTCAATTCAGACCAATTCAATTCAATTCAATTCAAACAAATTCAAAACTAATTTAACTAATTCAGTCCAATTCAAGACAATGTTCAGTCAATTCAAGTCAATTCAAGCCAATTCACGCTAATTCAGTAACATAAAATCGCAATAATTGAAACCAATTCAAAACCAATTCCACCAATTCAGTCCAATTCAAATTCAATTCAAACCAATTCAAGCTAATTCAAATTCAATTCTTGAAATTTGTACACCCAATTCAAGAGTTATCCACCCCTCGTTACAGACAGAAGTCGTGTTTTTGTTTTCATCTGGCACGCGATTTCCCCGGATTTTTCTAAGATGTGTATCGTGCTCTCTCGATCCATCTAGAGTTGAAGAGATGGTAGAATATCATATCGTACATTGCCCATTCACACTGTACACTTAATGTAATTTATTATTGGCACCGGTAGTGTGGATTCGCATTATCCGTACGAAATATTGGCCAGTAATGTGTTACCAGCAAGGTGCTCCAACAATAAACGTGCCCTGAGGTGGCGCAATGATGAAGTTTGGTGACAAAACGCAGCCTTGCTCTCGCTCTTCTTGCTCTCCGACGCTTTCCGATCTTATTGGGCGCTCCGGGCGGGCCGCCGATTACACTCAGCTGCTTGGCGGGCTGGCCTAACCAGCGCGTGGCAGGCGCTATTAGAAGCACTGCCTCGTGATACTTTCAATGTGGAGGGTGCTCATTTCTAAGTGGATTGTTTTGACTGCGCTCGGCGCCTTTCAGGCAGATCTTGTGTTGACAATTGTATTTTCTTTTTTCAGTGTTTTTGAGAAAAGAAAAGGGCCATTTCCCTCCCTTAGAAATACAGTCTATTGAGGCGGTTCAAAATTATAGCCTTCAACAAAGATTCAAAGAAAAGAAGGATGAGTATGAGAGGGCTTATGGACGAGTGGATGTGATTAAGTTATGGCACGGTACCAAATCAAGTAGGGTCTCTTCAATTTTGCAAAACAATTTTGATGTCTCCCGTTACTGTGGTAAGCCCTTTCCCATTAATTTCACCAATTTTTCGTTATGTTCCCTTCCCGATTCATCCTGAAATCCGACTGCGTTCTGACCCTCCGCAGGCCACAGATATGGAGCAGGAGTCTCATTCACGGCCTCCCCCAAGTACGCGTCACACTACTGCGACAAAGGGACCATTGGCTGCATTCTACTGTGCGACGTGCTGGTCTCCAACATAGTGGAGGTGCCTGAAAATATAGGAAAGGACTACGTTCTGGAGAAGCCGCCGTTTATCCCCGGCGTCTATCCACCGCTGCGCTATGATACTACAGCCAAAAACAAGAAAACCATGAACGTAATTGTGAAGTTCGAGTCCAATTCCTACTGTCCCACCCATGTAGTAAATTTCAAGAGGACGCGTCACGCACGCTGTAACGTAGGAGGATCACGAAAGAACACTGTAAAACCAAAGGTGCGGTATCCTACCTACCCATATCCAGTCGAGCTCAATAACCCGTTTTTGGATAATTAAAGCGCATATTTTTGGTTATTTTTAAAAATATTTTCAGAATGAATA